ACCCCTCCTGGCTCTTCATTCGCACCCACAGTGACCGTGCGTAGGGCCTTGTGGCGGAGTGGCGCAGAGCAGGGACCTAATGGAAATAAAACCCTGCAGAACTGATCCCCTGCGAGGCTGGTGGGAACAACCCAGGGAGGTCATGAGCTGTGAGGGCTGGATGGAAGTGTGAACTGTGTAAACTACCTCTGGGAAAAACGGCTGCGAAACCCAATTTTCTGCCCTGCTGCCAACTTTACTAGATGATCTAAGGTCCTTTCCTTAGATCTTACTAAGGTCCCTTCCAACCCAACCTCAGGTTCTGTTCCTGTTTCATCTCATGATAGGGCATGTCTGTGTGCTGTAGCCAGCCCTAATCGTGACTTAAACGCGATGAGGGCTGGCTGTGGCATGGACAGGCATCTCATCCCCTGCCCTTGCTGCAGGGTCTTATCTCTGCTGAAGGGTGGGACAGGCAGCTGTGGCCCTGATGCCGCCAACCACTGCGGAGCCCTGTGCCTGCAAAGACAAGAAAACAGAAAGGATAAAAATACACCAACCAAACCCAACCAACATGATTGAAAGCATGATGTGTTGCTGAGATGCATGTTCCCTGGCTGTGGCAAGCGGGGCAGAGGTTGAGACACATCTTCCCTGGGGAGAGGGAGGGTTGTGTGAGCCTGAGTCAGCAGCAAAGGTCACTTGGCCGAAAGGCTCCATGGTGTTGCAGGAGAGGATTTCGTAAGGGTAAGTGATGCAATGCTGCTGTGTTCAGCGCCGACGCCACGCTGGGTTGGTGTGCGTGCACGGCAGAGGGAGAAACACCGGTTTTGGTCAATGGAGGATGGATGACAGGGCAGCGATGGTCAACTTCACCTGCCCGCTCCACCTCCCAAATTGCTTGTCGTCTTTCTGCTCGGTCCTTTGCTTTCTCCACTCCTGTGCCCCCAATATCTGTGTTGCTTCGGTTCTGGCATTTAATCTCGTCATCGCGTTGTTTATTTTATGGCCTTGGCTCGTCTTTGAGTTCCCGTTTGGGGTCATTATCACATGTGATTAGTCTTGGAGCCTAATGAAGGGGATCAGACATGACTCTAGGGTATGTCTGAGCTGTGCAGCGTTTCTGAGCTCCAAGATCTGCAGAGGAAGTTTATTTTTAAGCTTCCCGAGATGATAAATTTGAACATTGAATTGTTTAGGGTCCAAGTAATAGAGCTGAAATCCCTCTGGGGTGGAGCCATGCCCTCCAGGATTTGAAACATCCCAGGAATAATTATCCAGTGCTGAGTAAGTCTCATTAGTCTTGAAATAGCTTTTAGTGGATGATCACGTTTTCCTTCATATTGGCTGGTGTGAAAGCTTGAAACTGTTTATTAACATTTAGCCTCGATTGTAAGAGCACTGTCAACATTCTGAATACTGTTGTTGTTGCCCAGTCCTGCTCTGGGAAAGCCAAGCATGGAAATATGAAACAATTACACAAAATAATAACCCCAGGAAATTGAAAAGGGCATTTTTTGAGGCTGCTCTTTAAGGTCCCACTGTTTCACTGTATTAAGAGATAGGAGAGAGCTGTGAGGTCTTGCGTGTTGGAGCAAGGTGAGGTTAGAGCATCCTCAGGACGGCTCCAGCTGATACTGTTTGGTGGCACTTTGCAGGGGACTGGAGCTCCAGCTCAGCAAAGCAGCAGCAGGGTGAGTTCCATGGTGTGTCACTGGCCCAGGAGAGGTGACGTCCATGTAGTGACTCAGCCATCTCCTTGCTAACCCTCTGCTGATGTGATGCAGATGATTACTCACTAATTGGTGTGTTTACCCTGTTTTTTTTAGGCAGCTGGAAAGGTCAAGGATCACATGGACGTGCCGCAGCTGAGTCAGTCTTCCACCTCTTTTGCCTCTAGGTCCACTGGGCTCTCGATGGTGCTCAGAGAGCTCTTTTGGTGTGCCCTGCCAGGTACACCCAGACTGTCTCAGTTTTATTATGTACTCTCTGGCTCTTTGACTATAAACCTGTCACACCTGTATGGTGGGACCAGAGTCTGTAGCTGAGGCCTTTTGTTGTGCAGCCACAGCAGGGTGGCAATGAATCCACTGGAACAGGTTGCCCAGAGAGGTGGTGGATGCTCCATCCCTGGAGACGTTCAAGGCCCGGTTGGATGAGGCCCTGAGCAACCTGATCTAGTTGGAGATATCCCTGTTCCTTGCAGGGGGGTTGGACTAGATGACCTTTGAAGGTCCCTTCCAGCCCTAACGATTCTGTGATTCTATGATTCTAATCCCCCCAAAGGAAGGACCCTTGGAGGCAGTGGAAGAGGGCGTTCTGCCTTTGGGCTGAGTGTGAGAAGCTTCTTTCATCTGTGCTGTGTTTGATCCCTTTGTTAGCTCTGTAACAACCCTCTAAGCAATCTGGGGCTTCACTGAGGATAACAATTTCCTAATAGTTTTTTTTCATTGTTTCCCCCCCATCTCCTATGCTTCCTATCTTTGGCTCTATCTCCTTGTCCAGTGTCTGACCTGTAAGTACTGGTGGGTTAGGTACCAATGCTTAGGTATCACCTCACCTGGTATCTCAACCAATGGCTTGTAAATCTGTCTCTTTACTCAAGTTTCTTACGCCATTACCCCAGACCAGCCTTGAGGACAGGTCGTTGATACCACGTATAATACCTGGCTCCTTCTGGGCACAGCTGGGTTTGGACACTGCCCTTCTGCTCCTTTGTCTGTGAGGTTTTTGTCTGCCTAAAATCTCCAACTGAGTCTCTTCTGCCTGTTGTTGCGTTTCTTGAAGGTTACAGACCCTGTCTCTGGTCATGGTATCAGCAGCACCCTTGGGTGCACTGGAGATGGAGGTGTGGATGCCCATCCCTCATGCCTCGCTCAGCTGCAGCAAACTGCATTTATCTGTCTGGTCCTCCACATACGTTGAGTGGCCTAAGAAAACCCTGTAGGCCTTCCTCCTATGTAGGCAACCCTGCCTGTCTCCTGTGACATTGCTGACATGTCTGTCTCTGCGTCCTGCCAAGGAGGTTGGACTTGGTGGCTCCTGTGTGTCCGCTTCCCATTTGAGCTTTATGCCAAGCAAGGTATCCTCACAAAGCTAAAGAAAATTACCATAGTAGTAGCAATATTCCTAATAGCATCTATTATTTCTTCTGTTTTAAAAAATCTCGCTTAATATACTTCAACCAAACTGTTACCCCACTCCTCTCTACGATTTTTCGAAAATAAGCTCATTCTGTCTTTAAGGCAAACACTGCTGCTTTTATTTTAAGACTGTTTGAATTTCGCTATCTGTTCTGCCCCAGCCCTGCTGCGTGGGTACCCAGTGCCTGCCTGGAGGAGCTCATGGAGGGGTTCTGGGTATTACCCTAATAGAAATAAATTGCACGATCCCCTCGGACAATGTGGCGAAGTCCATGCTGTCCTTTTGGAGCTGATGTAGTTAAAAGTGGAACAAACATTTGGGGAAATCTAGGA